AAAACCTATTTGAAGAAATAATGACCAAAAACTTCCCTAACCTAGTGAAGGAAAAAGACACACAAGTCCAGAATGCACAGATTCCCAGTAAGATGGACCCAAAGAGGCCCACACCAAGACACATCATAATTAAAATGGCAAAGCTTAAAGACAAGTAGAGGAAATAAAAGCTGCAAGAGAAAAGCAGTTAGTTACCTACAAGGGAACTTCTATAAGACTCTCAGCTGATTTCTCAACAGAAACATTGTAGGCCAGGAGGGTTTGGCATGAAATATTCAAAGTGATGAAAGGCAAGGACTTCCAACCAAGATTACTCTACTCAGCAAAGCCATCATTTATAATTGAAGGACTGGTAGGCAGCATCCCAGACAAGAAAAAGCTAAATGGGTTTGTACCACCAAACCAGTATAGCAACAAATGTTAAAGGCCCTGCTTTGTCTACGGCCATACCACCCTGAACGCGCCCGATCTCGTCTGATCTCGGAAGGTAAGCAGGGTCAGGCCTGGTTAGTACTTGGATGGGAGGCCCTGCTTGGAGAAGGAGAAGGAAAAGGAACAAGTGGAGAAGGAGGGGAAGATGGGGAGGGGGAGGGAAAATAGAAGGAGGGAGAAGGAGATAAGAAGAATAAGAAATTATTTAAAAATAAAATGGCAATAAATATGTCAATAATAACATTACATGTAAATGGCTTAAATGCTCTAATCAAAAGACATAGGGTAGCTGAACAGGTAAGAAAACAAGACCCATATATATACTGCCTCCAACAGACCCACCTCAAAATGAAAGATACATACAAACTAAAAGTAAAGGGATGGAAAAAGATATTTCATGCAAATAGAAAGGAAAAAAAAGCTGGGGTAGAAATACTTTATCCGACAAAATAGACTTTAACAACAGGCTATAATATGAGACAAAGAAGGGCATTACGTAATGTTAAAAGGAACATTCCAACAAGAGGATATAACCCTAGTAAACATTTATGCAGCCAACATAGGAGCACCTAATATGTAAAACAAATCTTGATGGACATAATGGGAGAGATTGACAGAAATACAATAGCCATAATAGGGGATTTTAACACCACCACTGACTTCAATGGATAGATCTTCCTGGCAGAAAATCAACAAGGAGACAGCAGCCTTAAATGACATACTAGATCAAGTGGATTTAATTGATATCTTCAGAGCATTTCACTCCAAAGCAGCAGAATATATACTTTTCAAGTGCACATGGAATGTTTTTTAGGATAGACCACATGTTAGGACACAAAACAAGTATCAATAAATTTAAGAGATTGAAATCAAATCAAGCATCTTCTCTGACCAAATGCTATGAAATTATAAATCAACCACAAGAAGAAAACTGAAAAACACACAAAGACACAGATGCTAAATAATGTGTTATTAAATAATGAATGGGTCCACAATGAGATCAAGAAAAAAAATCAAAAGACATTTAGAAACAAATGAACATGAGAACACAACAACCTGAAATCCCTGGGACACAGAGAAAGCAATCCTACAATAAAAGGGAAATTCATGGCATTACAGGCCTATCTCAAGAAACAAGATAAAGCTTGAATAAACCATATACCTTTACACTTAAAGGAACTTGAAAAAGAACAACAAATCCCAAAGTGAGCAGAATGAGGGAAAAAATAAAGATCAGAGCAGAAATACATGAAATAGAATCTAAAAAAATGATACCAAAAAAACCCCCAATGAATCCAAGAGCTGATTCTTTGAAAAGACAAACAAGATTGTCAAACCTTTAACCAGAATCATCAAGAAAAAAAGAGAAAGGACCAAAGTAAATCAGAAATGAAAGAGGAGAAATAACAACTGCCACCAAAGCAATACAAAGGGTTGTAAGAAAATATTATGAGCAACTATATGCCAAAAAAATTGGACAAACTGGATGAAGGATAAATTCTTAGAAACATACAGTCTTCCAAAACTAAATCAGGAAAAATCAAAGAATCTGAATAAACAAATTATACCTAGTGAAATTGAAGCAGGAATCAAAAAACTCATAACAAACAAAAGCCCTGGGCCAGATAGCTTCACAGGTGAATTTTACCAAACATTTCAAGAATTAACACTTCTCCTTCTTAAAATATTTCAAAAAATTCAAGAGGAGGAAACACTCTCAAGCTCACTTTATGAGGCCAGCATTATCCTAATATCAAAACCAGATAAAGACATCACAAAGAAAGAAAACTATAGGCCAATATCCCTGATGAGCATAGATGCTAAAATCCTCAACAAAATATTAGCAAACTGAATACAGAAATACATCAAAAAGATCATACACCATATCAAGTCGGATTTTTTCCAAGGATGTAAGGTTGGTATAACATTCACAAATCAATAAAAGTGATATACCACATAAACAAAATGAAGAATAAAAACCACATTATCACATGAATAGATGCAGAAAAAGTATTTGATAAAACCCAGTACCAATTTGTGATAAAAATTCTCAGCAAAGTACCTAACCATAATGAAGGTCATATATGACAGACCCACTGCCAGCATCATACTCAACAAGTAAAAACTACAAGTGTTCCCCTTAAGATTGAGAACAAGGCAGGGATGTCTACTTTCACCTCTCTTCTTCAACATAGTCCTGGAAGTTCTAACCATAGAAAATCACACAAGAAGAAATAAAAGGCATCCAAAGTGGAAAGGAATAAGTAAAACTGTCATTATTTGCAGATGACATGATACTGTTCATATATAATCCTAACCTAAAGATTCCAACAAGATACTATTAGAACTAATAAATGAATTCAGCAAAGTAGGAGGGCACAAAATTAATATCCAGAAATCAGTTGCATTTTATATGCCAATAATGAACTATCAGAAAGAGAAATTTAAAAAAATCCCATTCACAATTGCGTCAAAAGAATAAAATACCTAGTAATAAATTTAATCAAGGGTGTAAAAGACTTGTACTTGGAAAATTATGAGGCACTGAAGAAAGAAATTGAAGAAGATACAAATAAATGGAAGCATATACTCTGTTCATAGATAGGAAGAATTAACATCACTAAAATGTCCATGCTACCCAAAGCAATCTATAGATTCAACAGAATTCCTATCAAGGTACCAATGGTGTATTACACAGAACTAGAACAAATATTTCAAAAATTTATATGGAATCACAAAAGGTCCTGCACAGCAACAGCAATCCTGAGAAAGAATGAGGCTGGAGGAATCAAGCTACCTAATATCGAACTATACTATAAAGTCATAGTAATCTAAACAGCATGGTAACAGCATATAAACAGACACATAGATCAATGGAACAGAATAGGGAGCCCAGGAATTAACCAACACCTTTGTGATTAATTAATATTCAACAGAGGAAGCAAGCACATACAATGTGCTAAAGATAGTTTATTCAATAAAGTGTTGGGAAAATTGGATGGATATGTGCAGAAAAGTGAAACTAGACCACCTTCTTATGCCACACACAAGAATAAATTCAAAATGAATTAAAGGCTTAAATATTAGATATGAAACCATAAAAATCCTAGAAGAAAATCCTGCCAACTACACCAGTTGTGTTGTGATCATTCAGGGCCAGACAGGTTCATGGGATTCGTGCATATGGAAGAATATTCACGGAGCCACTGGGATGTCTGACATGCTTTTATTCAAGCGCTGATGATCCACACATGCTGCAAACTGCATGTCACACTGCATGTCACATATCCCCTCTGCGTGGCACCCAGTGTGGGCCCTTGCACTCCCCCTCCATGTCTATGTCTGCTGGCAAACTAAGAAGCCCCTACCTTCTTAATTACTAGAAGGAACAAGGCCAGCTACAGGCCAAATGGTTAGGTACCATAGCATGAGCTGTGCAAGTAAGCCAACTTCATGTTATGAGAACTGTTTCAGACCCAGACTCAAGGCTGTGAGACCCAGTCTCAAGGTTATGAGAACACTACTTTATTACCCTCCTTCAAGGTTGTGAGAAACTGCTTCCCTTAGTTACCCAGACACCTGGGTGAGGAAGCCAGACTGCCTCCACTTACCCCACAATAAGCTTTCTTCTTATCAAAACAAGTTTTGATAAGATGATCAAAATACCTTTTGATACAAAATACCTTTCAAAGGTCAATACAGACATTCTCTGCTTTTTGAAAATTCACATTACACTACTTCACTTTTACAGAAGACCTATATTAGTACCTATTTTCACTCATCAAAAGAAATCTAAAGTGAATTTTCGATTTTACAAAAAAAGGCAAAAGTAAAAATAGCATTTATCGTTTGTTTTACCGTGAGCTGTTATAGAGGCAGCACACACCTTAGCAGCGAGACTGGTACTGCCAAGTTCCTTCCCTGGGAACTACATTCAACATCTCAGCATCAAGCCATCATAACCTTGAACTGTGTATGTGAGCATGTGTGCTTTATCTCAATTTACTCTGTGCATTCCTGCTTTTACTACATGTTAGTGTTATTTTAGGTTTTATGTGCTATTTGATATGATTTAATAGATTATTTTTTAGGTTTGGGAATGCTCAAAAATGTTTCCATAGAAATTGACAGTAATTGCTTCTTTACACCATTTCTACTTATGAAAGGTTTCATAACAATGCTGTATTTTTGGGTAGTGGGGGAAATCTGTACACCAAATTTTTCATTAGCTAAATGTATAGCTAACTACTCCCCTAGATGTCTGCCTATAACAATTCAGTCATAATTTAAGCACCATTAATTGAAGCACTCTGCTATAGTAATTGCTATTTATAGTTTCTATCTAAGGACATACCTAAACAAATACAGGGTTCAGTAGAGCTATATAACAAATAGGTAGGCCTCCTATGGCACCCCAACAGTCCAAAACACTGGCTTTACTTTAAAAACAAAGAAAACAAAAACACTCCAGTATAAAAAATTTCTACATTTTTTTAATTTACATTTTTACAAAGTATATCCTATTAACTTATAGAATTGGTAAGCTTAAATTAATATATGTACTGTACTTGTCTTTTTCAATTGTTTCTTGATAACTAGTAAATCGGTCCTGCATATAATCTTCATGTTTATGAAAAACGTCACATGTTGGCTTCCAGCTATGGAAAAAAATATTTTAATTAGCATCTCAGAATGACAAACAAATTGTAAGAGATAATGAAAATAAAAGCAACCACTTAAAAATAAACAAATCTTTCTCTTCCTGAAGAAAACAAACTTCCATCAAGAAAAATATTCCCATCTCCCATCACCACCACTATCACCTTTCATGCAATGATATATATGCTCATATAAATATCATTATCTGTTTATTTTTATATAAAACCTGTTTTGGAACCATGACTAGGAAAGCAACAACTATAACATGGCTGGACTGTGTATTGCTATAGCATTTTTAGAATATACTCTGCAACACTGCAACATCATACTCCTAAGATCTTAGTTAAGAAATTCTTTTGGGCCCTGACTGGTGTGGCTCAGTAGTTTAGGCACAACCTTGCAAACCAAAAGGTTACAGGTTTGATTCTCAGTCAGGGCACATGCCCAGGTTGTGGGCCAGGTCTCTGGATGGGGGCATGCAAGAGGCAACCAGTAGATGTTTCTTTCACAAGTCAGTATTTCTCTTCCTCTCTTTCTCCCACACGTCAATGTTTCTCTCCCTCTCTGTCTCCCTCCCTTCCCCCTCTCTAAAAATGAATAAATAAAATATTTTTAGAAATGTAATGGGTTAAAAACAAGGCTTGTTAAAATTTTGAATAATAAGATTTTAAAACAAATTATTCTAAAGTGTAGTATTTAATACAATGACAATCAATGGTCCAAACAAAATTAAATACAAAAAACTAATATTTTAATTATTTGTAATATACAATAAAGTTCCATTAACAAGTCTTTATTTCAAAATATTTATGCCTTATAATGGATTTAACTAATAGAATCCAGAACCTGAAGCCATGTCGAAAGAATTCTTAACATATTGAATTCTTTTATTTTGAAAGCTACTAATTTTAGGTGAGATTCCAATAGACAAAAATAAGATCTTAAAAATTCAAAGATGTAAATTATTTCAAATTTATTTATGTAATAGAAATTTTACATACTGAATGTAATGGGACCTGAATTAGAGAGATCTTATAGCATTTCCCTTCTTACAAGGCAATTTAAGACTTAATTCATCATTGTGTTAATATATTACTTTAAAACAGCAATTTCTATAAACTCAGAAACCTTGAATAAAGGGATCTAGTGACAAATACTGAAAGCTCCTTTCTTTCAAATACTCACTTACTACAGTTGTCTTTGATTTCCTTACTATGTTTACAGTAATAACCAATTTCCTCATCTGTTGTATTTATAGTTTCCTGTATCTTACAAATAGTTGCTTTATTTTGTTTAATATCATCAAAGCTTTCTGAAAAGAGAATATATTTATTTTCTTAAGGTAGAAATCATAAATTAAAATAAACAAATAAAATAGAAAAAGAAGTTATGGCAACTTACCTACAAAGAAGACAGCCAGAGAATGGAGATGGGAAGGGCCCTATGTTGAAAAGCACAGAACCAGAGCCAGGTTTGCTCCTATACCCAGAAGCTAAGGATTTGTGTTTGGGATTGAAGAGAAATTAAATGTCCTCTTTATTGTTAAAGGCTAGAGTAAGTAGTATCTAAGATCAATGGCAATTTAGGATGCTATGGGATCCTGTAAGTATTTACTCATATATGATATTAAAATAAGAGTTTTGTTTCTAAATGTGAAATTTCTATTCACCAACTCAATGTCAATTAATTATTAAATGCACCTTCAACTGGCTTCTTTTCACTAGTGACTACAACAAGATAAAAATATAGTTTCATAAAGAGATTAAAGTAAAATTTTAATACTCTGTATTCATTTTTGTTGCATAAAAGATAACCAAATTCTATCTTTTCAGAACTGTTAAGAAATTAATGATTCTATTTTCTTTTAATAGTTTTTCTGTAGAATTTTGAAACACCACATTTATGGAATTTGTTTTTTCATTTTCAGTATCTTTATTCCTGAAAAATGTGGCATCCATCAATCCTAACCCCTCACTGAATCAAATATTTGAAATAACCTGTATTATTTGAGAAAAATAACATATTTTCAACTGCACCTAAAGGGTCATTTAGCTTAAAGCAAAATTCTTCAACACATATTAAATACTGATATAGAATTTTATTACTGAAAAATCTGTACTTAAGATAAATAGCTCATTATTAGGCCTGGCTGGTGTGGTTCAGATGGCTAGAACCTCATCCCATGAACTGAAAGGTCATGGGTTTGGTTTCTGGTCAGGGCACATACCTAGGTTGAGGGCTCCATCCCTGGTCAGGGCATGTCAAGGAAGCAACCAATGGATGTTTCTCTCCCACATCGATATTTCTCTCCCTCTCTCCCCCCCTCCCTTCCCCTCTCTCTAAAATTAATAAGCAAGTCCTCAGGTGAGGATAAAAATATAGCTTATTATTAGGCACTAAACAGAATTGGCATAAAACTTATTAGTACAACTTTAAGTTACCCTAAGCAAGGCAGCTCCATATTACCTTACATGTCAAAAACCAAAACATCTTTATCATGCAAAACTTACTATTAATTCGTTGAATCATGTCTTCTTTAGTACTTATATCTTGCTCATACTGAAAAACTAAAATAAAAATGTTTTTGCAACTTCATTTCATTGTTAAAATAGCAAATGACAATACAGTCTATTATATTTACTTTATACCTACCGAATTCTAGCAAAAGTCTGTCCAAGCTGACAAATAGGCTGTCATTCATCTTGAATACTGTGTGGGAAAAAAAAATATATGTAAGGAAGGATTTTCTGAGGTTGCACGTAAAACAGCACATATTAAGTAACAACTTGGTAACACAGCATTATTACAAAAAAAACACAACAAACAAACAAACCCAAAAAACAAAAAACGTGGGTGGAGCAAGAACTGGGGAGGAGAGAGACCCATTCAGCTCAGTACTGGGCCTAGACCTAGCAGGCACCTTAATCAATACTTGTTGAACGCCCGCTGCATGACAAACTTCCGGAGGAGCCTTCAAATTATTTATACGTTCTAGTCACTGAATATTCTTGCAGGCCACAGACACCCAGAGTTCTCAAAAGGATTCGCCCTATAAAATAAATACCTCTGAATACATCCCTTCTCGGCATGTGTCCTACTAGGACCAGAAAGATTCCTACAGGCCCAGTGCAATTTCACACTTAGAATTCACCACCAAGAATCCAAAAAGAGGAAGTTTTCGCAGAACTGCCCAGTCGCTTTACAAAATACGACTGAGGCAGGCTTCGCATCTCTGCCCACCTACAGATTCCAGGAGCAACGCTGCCCGCTGCCCGCTTCCCGCGCGTTTTGAGGCGGGAAGTTCGCTCGCAGGCTAGCGCTCTCACAGCCTACTCTCTTCGTCTCCCTTCACCTGAGTCGGCCCCCAACACCCAAACACGCGACGCCCACAGCTTCGGACGGCACTGTGGCCTGATGGCCCCGCGCCTGGAAGCCTCTAGAACACGACCTCCAGCCGTTCTCCGGAGACGGGGCCCACCAGCGGCCCTCCGCCCCCAAACTCCCAACCCCCAACCCCTCACAGCCGCCTGTCCAGGGAATAACCACCACCCACACCTAGCTCAGTAGTCCCTGTGGAACCCGAACGTCCACTCCCTTCTCTCTCGCCGTCCCAGAACCCACTCAGAGTGGAATTCCACGGACGCAAAGACGACCCCCAAACCGACCGGCCAGCCCCGCCCAGGCCCGCGAAACTGGTAGTGTAGCGGCAGATCGCGCTCAAGAGCGAGATCCAAGTCCCCGCGAGACCAGCACTGTGCGATCACTCCTCCACCGGGCCAAGCGTGAACCCAGCCCTTGAACACGTGCGGGCATCAGAGAGGAGCCTAAACGGAGGGGTGGGAAACCTGTAAGGGACGCCCCAGTTTCCTTGAAGAAAGTGTTTTTTGTTTTGGGGTTTTTTTTTAGGGACTATTCATTCCTCTTTTAACAGTTTTAAAAACGTGTGGAGAACAGCAATAAAATTGACATTAACATGACAGTAAAAAATACTCGAATCAATCATTGAAATTCAATTTGCATTCCACATTTTTCAAAAGTGCTTGAAAACCAAGCATAAGATTTCAAACACATTTGAGAGTCATTTGTTTTGAATAAAAGGCACATAGAGATTCTGTTCAAAATACTGTATTTAGATAATTTATACTCTTAGACCTTGCATCTCCAAAGTGAAATAAAGAATGGAGAAAAAAATAATTTAAACAAATCAGTTCCCCCCAGTTGCCTTAATTATTGGTATATTTCCAGTCAAAGTGTTTTTAATACTAAATGACCTAAATAACTGCCTCAGTTCACCACAACCTGAGTTATTTCACAGATTATTAAAATGAAAGAGAAACCTTCAGAAATATTTTTCTTACTCAAGTACCTCAGATCATATATGCATAGCCAATTTTATTATACTGTGATATATTATTCATTAGTTAACATTATTGATAGTGAGTCATCAAAGCCTAAGTTTGATAATACAATAAAGTCAGCAGCTTTATTCATATATTTGTTTATAATATTTTTATTAACTATCCTTTTTAAGGAAGACACAAGAAAATAATAGAAAGGCTAAAGTTATCATTAAGTCTTGTTGGCATTACATTACTATGACCGTCAAGAAAATCTGATGGGTCAAAAGAGTTGATCCATTTCAACTTAACAGTAGGTTTTCTTATGAAAATATGGGAACCTAGAAACACCAGATTACTGAATCCTGGACATCAATTTATTTGCATTTAAATTCACATCTATTTATATCCTAATTACTCTCACAAAAATATACCTGAGTTCTACCAACACCACTGTCACCTATCCCATTCCAAAATCCCTTATGGAAAAGATGTTCCATTTACTGGAAAGTTTTAAACAATAAATTTTCTTCTCCCCTCTAAATTCCCCTATGAAATATAGTGCCCCATTTGAAAAACTATAGAACATTGACTCAGGTAAACATTTTTCCTAACAAATAATTTTCTGAGAAAGTGCTCTCATAAAAGTCTCTCCCTACTTATTATTATTAGCTCCTTCCCCTTCTTGCTCCATACATGCAAATCAGAATCTGAAGAAATTATTTATTTATACTGGCTGCCTATCCCAATTGCACTGTTTCCCTTTTCTTTTACTGCTACATTTATCCAACAGAAAGCATGTCTCTTACCTACAATTCTTGTCACTCCTTTTCTTATTGACTCTTTCAACTCAACTGCCATCGCCATCATATTTAACCACTTTCTCAGGTAATCAATAAAATATTTTTGCTCCAAATATAATGGTCTTTTCTCAGTTTTATTCTTTCTTTTTTGTCTAACTCTCTTCTGTATTTGATCCCATTAAAATTATCTGCAACCCTGACTTCCAAGATACTACTCTCTTCTAGTTCTACCTCCTCTACCTGCCCCTCTGATTTTGGCTTATATTTCTTTCCCTCTCACTGTCACTACCCAAAATACAGTCCCTTATGAAAGATATTTTGTTAATTCTACTCTTTATCCCCTTTTCTTTAGGTTATTCATCCCTAACAGCTTCAGTTCTCACTTCTGTGCTTGAAACTCCCAAATCTATACTTTTAGTTTATCCTATTATCTGAAAATTACCCAAATATTTACATGTACATGCTTTGTCATCATTCTGCTTCTGATGCTCTATTCCTTCTTCATTTAATAACCTCCTAGTCATTCTTCAACTCTCAAAATTCATGTACTTATTCTTCATAACCTTTAACACAGTTATAATTCTACATTATTTATAGAATTATTATATAAATATCTATCTCACCCACTGTATTTCATGAGACCAGGCCCAGCCTCCTCTGTCCCCTGTCCCTACAACACTCACAAACACCTTGGCAGTCACAGTGAATAGGTTACAGCAGCAGTTTGTTGTAATGGCTATAATCCCAAATCAATTCACAAGCAATTCCAAATTTATAAATGCCACTTCATCCTAAGAACAGTCCTTATAGGAAAAACAGTCACAGAAGAGGAAGGAAAGCAGTGTGAATCTACTAATGCTAATTTATTTATGCGAATGGCAATAAGGTCAGTGGGAAAAACAACAAGCTTACACTATGCCAGGATTTTCAAATATGCATGATTAAATTTACATTTTAATATTATTGTAAAACAAAAACCTCTTCTTTGTTTTCTCATTTGATTCCCTGTGTAGGGATTAGTGCTGCTTATTATCCTGGCCAGGTTAGGTGTATACCTTCATCACTTCCTTGAATTACCAAGGCCATACTATGTGTAGTTGTTTGATAACTCTGCTGTTCTTTCTTCACAATAATCCTAATGCTACTGGGTTTCCCTCTAAATGTATGCAAACCACAGTAGACAATTGCAAAATACCCAGCCTTTTTTGTTCTTGTAGCTCTTGTAGACACCATTTAATATTAATCTGATCTATCCATTGTTTCACCATATATATATATGTATATCATATATATAGATATATATATCTATATATATGATTCTGGTTTCTGGTACAAACCTGCTTCCCTCAAGTATGTCTACTACTCTAAAATCCTAATACGTGGGATTTTAAATTTTAGTTTACTCCCCATTGTTCTATCCTCTGTGTCACATAATTCTTTAATTTTATTTCTTTTTTGCTTACCTATATCCCCAGCATCTAGCACAGGGACTAACACATGATAAAAACTAAACAGATACTTAAGTTAATGAATAGATAGATAAATGAGAGGTGCTCAGAAAATACATCATTTTGCATCTGGATTACTGTGACAGACTGGGAATAACTCCTCCCCTTTGACCAATTTTATATTCTTATTCCATTCTATAGTAGTACTGATTTTTCTTACATCTATTTCATCATGGTACTCAACTAATTTAAAAGAAATTAACGATTTTATTTTCTCTACTTCAAATTAAAGTACCTTTGCTCTATTTTAAGGCCTTCTATAATCTGACCTTAACTTTAGTTCCCAAACAAAATCTTTCATTTTATGCAAGCCAGTTCCCTCACTGATCCATGAAGACATTATGCTTATTTAAGCCTTCATGGCGTTGTGTTCAATGATCCCCTCAACTGGAAAGTTTCTTCTTCTTGACCCAATCAAGATCTATCCACTCTTCAGGGTTCAAGTCCCAACTTCCCTAGACAGTCTAGCCTGACTGCTATAGGTATCCCTTTTCTCTGAAATCTGTGGAATCTTCTCTGAAGTCTATGGCACTTGTGTCGTACTTAAACACTGGAGTTATAAAGATGAAGAAGGTCTTTGCTCTCAAAAACCTCTTGATTTAACTGTGCGGACAGATATTGACAGTGAGTACTGCAATAGAGATATACGCATGTGACTGGGATGATAGTTTGGGGATATTAAATCAATGATCTCAGTGACATTTAGTTCAAAGTCAGTCAGCAACTCTGTCAGGCAAGGTCCCATGGGGCAGGAAACAAAATCACCCCAGATGATCCAAGTGATAAGGATTTAGTGAATAGACTACTTATAGAGGTATGGGCAGAAGACAAAGTGTTTGGTGTTTCACTTCAGAAGGTAAATATCTAGAAGCCCAGATTCTAGTAATGGGTTTATGTACAACACTCCAAAAGGCCTTATGGGGGCCAATCCATACTATAAAACCATTCATTGCACAGCAGAGATGAGAAACGGTCCCAAGGAGACCAAATGTATCCAAAGCCCAATCTACTCCACCATGAAGTCATTATTTGCCCCCTCCCCATAAAAGAGAC